CCGTGGTCCTCCCAGCTGTAAAACAAATAGTCAGAAGAGTGAATGTGGTAGATTTATAACATTCCATATCAAACCAAACTTGTTTTTTTCCTTATTATAAAGCCTAATTCAAGATTTCTTGTTATTGTTATGAGATAAAATTAAGTAAAAGTTCAGTTGTTGAGTACAGAACATATCTGGGCAACCTTTCCAGTGAACTGTTCGTTATTCTGAAGCCATTAAAAATTTTGGGACTCATTTGACCATTACCTGTAAAAATAAAATTAAAAAATCTAGAAAAACTAAATGTAAAAATTGTTTTTTTGAATGAACTCGTTACATTTCTTGGCTGGATTTGCAACTAGACTAGAAAAGCAAAGGAGGAAGTTTTGTTTATCAACTATATTTCCTTTGTCCTTTCCTTTCAGCTTATATTAGAGTCCAGGAAGCTGTTTGTGTATGCTTGCACGGCATTTAACTTTGAAGTTATTATACTTCATTCAGAGTCCTTTCTAACTATAATGAAAGACACTCTGCTATAGAACTTAAATCTTCCACTTCTGAGGCAGAAGAACTGACCATAACCAGGGTACCAATGGATATTTCAGAAATTTACACTAAACACTACCACAAGAAGGAAAGATATTAAAAAAGAAGAATTTAAGGTAACATCTCATATGTGTTTCCCCACCATAGCTCTTTAAAGGTTTTAAGTTTAACATATGGTAATTATTAAATGGTTTGACGTGAACAAAAGACAACTTCTTTTTTTGAGTCAAACAAGGTATTACAATGACTATCAGTTTTGAACCACCAAATTTTTAAACATTTCTGCAACAAAATTATTATCAGTTTCACCTAAACCACAGTTACTCACAAAGTATTAAAAGGGACAAAACCGTTGAAGTCTTTGTTCACTTACCAACTCCAAGTTGCTATATAATAGATCTGTTTACACGTTAATTTTGCAACCTGGGTTGTGTCAAATAAAACTGGCACCCTTCCTCATCTATTTAATCTGGTCTGAAAGAGGTATCAAAACAGAGCAACACCACACAGGATCAGGTTCCATGGCTACCAATAACAGCGTGGTGCTAAATACAGACATACCTGTTACACATGACATCCTGGTATATGTAATATTAATGACTTCTTACTTGCTTTAGATAAATTATTTACTGGTCTTTCATTATGAAGAACTTTATAAGCCAGTAACCACAAGTTCCTGTGGATTCAACGAGTAATGAAAACTTCTACAATGTGAAAGACTTGGATGAATTGAAATTCATATGAAGTGATCTCCTAGGTATTACTATACCATGTCAGCACTTGACACTTCACTTGAAAAAATTCAAATATTTGGTGTTTCTTGATTTCTTCAAGAAATTCAGAGTTTCAGAAATCAGCATGGACAATATCAGCATGTAAGCTGTTTGTGGGTACTACTGGCTTGGCAAATTTTGGTCTTTTTGCCTCTGCAAAATTTATTATACTTGGATTGTAATTTCAGAATATAAGGACTTTTCTTTTCTCAGCAACAACCTGGACAGGGAAGGAAGCAATGAGATATGACAGTTTCCAATTCATGAAAGTATTCATAGTAGTGAGAATGAGGGAAGCGGTATAAATGAGGGCAGAAAGACCTTACAAGACAGAGTGAGTGGTCAGTGAAACAACAGATAAAAATGAGAAATTATGTACATAGGGAAAAAAGAGCCCTGGCTCTAAATATAGGCAGGTGGGCTCTGAGCGGAAAGTTGTCACTCAGGAGCAAGATCTCATTCCCATAAAAGTATCAACTCAATGCACTGTACCATCTTTAAGCTACCAAGTTCAGGTTTTACCATATCCAATCCTTGAGTCCTACTAGATATAGTTTAAACCACTAGCTTACACAGAAGAGCCTAACAGCTTTCTATTCTATTACCTTCAATGAGTAAAACTGATTTACTCATTTACTTCGGTAAAATTAATTTACCAAATTTGACATGACTTAGCCTAACAAACACATTCAAGTATTACAACTGGTGCAGGAAAAAAATGAGATTCAATCTTTTATTCTTAATGTTCTACTCTAACTATGTCAGCAGTTCATTCATGCACCACTTCGGGGCTGAGGCTGCAGTTCAGTGCACTTCGGTGAGCCACTTCAGCTCCCACCGAATTAGCCGTAATGAGATTGCTCAGCTTCCAGAGCATGCTATGCTCTATGAAGAAAGGGTCCAGATTAAGCAGAATACTGCTTCTTTTTTACCTCCTCCATGATTCAAAAGAACACAGGCTAAAAAGTCTAAGGAGTTTTAAGAAGGCTTTCAGTGAGGGGACAGTAGTGAAAAATGTCACAGACAAAAAGGAAATGAGATGGTGGTGCTAAAAGATATTTCCTTCTTTCAAAAGACAAATAGCTCCAGGTACTGAAAATTCTTAGCAGAACTCTTAGCAAAATAAACTACTTCAAAGTGAAGGTGAAAAAGTAGTACACAGAAACGAAATTGACATTGGGCAGCAATTTCCAGTTGTCTTTTAAAAAGAGCTGCCTTATCTATTTGAACAAAACGAAATAAACAGCATAAAAAACTCCTTTCCATCTATACTGTAGCTAGCATTGTGCCCTATTGATGCATACAACCGATTAATCATGTATTCCACCACTTCATCAGGAAAGAGTCAAGATTTGTTTGAACTGCTACATGCGAAGTTTACCCAGCCTATTTGGCTCACTTTGTTATTAACTGCTGCCATCACGATTGCAGCAGCCGTGCTGGAGCATGTAGCAGGTCCAGACCAGAAAGGTGTCTTTGTACCATCAGCAAACAAAGCACCGTTTTTAACTCTCCAAATTTTCTAGTCCTGATGCACACAATTGCATAGAGTCACAGCTTGGTTTGCTTAGATTTCTGATAATATTGATACCAGAAAGGGATCTGGCTAACACCCAAGTTTTTCACAGGAATAACAAGCATTGACTTGTGCACTTCAAAGCAGCTTGTTCCCAAAAACTCTGCAATCTCACAATTTGTAAAAGCACATATGTACTGAAGTTTATAATGAGTTTTACTAAGTGTGCAGCCAACCTAGACCAAAGCCTTGATCACCTAGCTTTTGTGCAGCTCTGCTACAGATTCTTCTGTGAGGTCCTAGGTAGGATTGTGTTGGAGAAATGACACACCAGAAGTCATTACAGATTTTAACTGAATCACAGGGTTTTCTGCTTTTTCGGGAGAATTTAAAGATTGTCCATGACAACACTGATGTAACAGGAACAAAGATTATAGGGAAAAAGCAGCTTTCTGACAAGGTTATGGCTGATTGATTGATTATTGGCATAATTTCAATTACGGCCTTTTTTTTTAAATAAAATTTTTGGAAACAACTTTAAAGCCTGCTCCAATTATGTTTCCAAACTCTCAAAAGTAGAGGTTGAGACAGCTAAAACATTACAAGACTATGGTGTAAGGTCTAATTTCATGCAGCTAATTTCAGGCGCAAGTGAAATCCCAGCACCCTATCTGGGGCTATTGCCGTGCTTGGGAGATTTCCAGTCCTGTAATTGGCGGGGTTTCGACGCAGTTACAAATACGAATGTCAGTAACATTTGTCTTTAAACGTGGTCATGGAGCTTGCAAGAACTAATGCCATTTGGGCTTTTTTTTTTTGTTTTGTTTTTGTTTGTTTGTTGCTTTGTTCTGGGTTTTTTTAAACCAAACCAAAGCTGCAAAGGGAGCGTGGGAGCACCTCTTGCTCCTGCAACATGGATTTTCGCAGAGGTCCGTTCAGGGAAACCTCGGGAAACACCTGTGTGTTACACACTCCCCCTCCCCAGCCCCGGGCGAGCCGTTGCCAGGCTGCTTGTGCCTCCCGGTGCATCCTGAGGGAGTGAGGGGCTCGGCCTGCCCGCTGGGGATGGAGCAGGGCCGCCAGGCCCCGCTCGGCGCCCGGCCGGGAGCGGGCGCCGCTGCCTCCGGCTCCGGCTCCGGCCCCGCCGCCCCCCGGCCCCGCGGCCTGAGCCCATGCCCGGCCCGGCAGAGGGGGCTGGCGGGGGGCCTGGGCAGGGGGACCCCCCGCCGGAGCACAGCGCTGGCGGCGCCCCTTCCCCATCCCAGCGGCCCCGCAGGTGCGTCTGGGCCGCGGCTCGGCCGGGCGGGTGAGGCGAGCGGGGCGTGCGGGCCCCGCCGACGGGGCGGCCCGGGGGTCCGGCTGCCCTGCCGGGCCTGGGGCGAGCCCTGCCCGACATGGGCGAGGAGGGGTGCCCGCAGCCCCAGGGAGCGCCCTCTGTCCCGCAGCGCCCCGAAGGGGCCGCGGGCGGAGCGGCCTGGCCGGGTACGAGCCCCGAGGTCCCGGCCCAGGCAGGGAAGGCAATCTCGGAACGTTTTGCCTGTTTATATAAAGAAATAGCGTTTTTTCCCTCCCCATTTTTTTTCTTCTTTTTTTTTTAGCTGCTGTATATCTGTTCTATGAGTCGACTTGAGCTATTTCTCCTAAGTAAAGCGGAGCTGGGGAATGGTCTCATGGCTTGACTTCTTTTCCTGACTCACTAATCTCTCGTCCCCTCCAGATTATTTGACTGTATCTGGGGAGAGCAGAGGCTTTGGAATTCTGTGTCAGTTAGGAAACTTATGGGGTCATGTGTACCCATAGAGTTAGTAAGACAAAAACTACCCTGTATATATATGGCTGTCAAGGATTTACTGTTTGTTGGTGTGTGAGGAGCCATGTCCAGGGAGTGAGAAAAAGGTTAACTAATACATCACTAAAACATCTTGTTCAAGAGCTTTCTCAGAGCATGAGCATAAAGTCTTTGTTCTCTCTCACCCATGTTCTCTTCAGGTGCTCTTCCAGTGGATTTCCTGTGGGCTTAGTCTTAGATGTGTTGAATGCTTCAAACACAGAGCCTATCAGAGCAGCTGAGAGCTCCGCTCAATCTTTGGGTGTAAAAAAGATAGGAAGAAATATGAGAAGGAAGATAGGAAGATAGGAAGAAATAGGAAGAAATATGCCTCCAGGCCTCGTACCTCACACTGCCTGACTGTAAAGCAGTATAGTCCAATTTAGTTCCCCAGTCTCACCTCTAGTTCGCACTCTAGTATTTGAAATCTGCAGTCTTCTTATCTTTATTGTTTGTATGTGGATACAGTAATTTGTGTTATGAGAGTTTGTCTGCATCTGTAATTGGAAGAGAGTTTTGTACATCCTTTGTGCAGATAAGGTAAGAAAAAAGTACCCCTTTTTCTTTGGGATGCTACTGGTAGTGCTTGTCGAACTGTTGTGCTTAACAGTGAGTAGTCCTGATCATTGTCATCATTGGATTATGACTTGGAAGCAGAAGTGGGGAGAAACTTTCTTGTCTATTTTCTGTGCTTTCACAACCAGTATCGTCCTGAGATAGGTGCTGTTTACCACAGGAACTCTAGGTGTCATGGAGAACAGCTGCCCAGTAGCTGTTGCCTAAATCTTAGTCATGGATGTCTTTAAGTTCCCTTCTTTTGCATACCCTGTTATTACTCTAACTTGTAAATTTCATCAAGCTTAAGGAAAACAGTACGGAAGTACCTTGGCAGGAACTTGGAAACTTTATTGCCACAACAAGTGTTTGCTTTGTACCTCTAGTTAGCCAGATCACAGAAAGTATGTACGTATTTTTAACATGGAATCAGTGTGCTAAGACTGTATGGAGAGATGCCGGATTTGGGTCCAAATAAGGTTGATTTAGTGTGTGTATGACTCAGGAGTATTATAAACTTTTATTTTATGTTTTTCTGTCTTCACATTATATCTCCATCTGCTTTAGTGACCCCGTAACACAACAGATTCATGTTTTATTTGAAAAATTTCTTAACTAAAGAGTGAAAAAGAAATACTTCTGAACTTTGAAGGCCATTCTGTTTTAGTGGTGTGATAGCTTCCTTGGGACCTTTAAAGGTTTTTTTCCCCATCAGCTGCATAATCTGCTTGAGATCCAACTCATTTCTTCCACAAACAAAGGCAGGATCTTTTCTCTCTTCTCTGGGAAGCTCTTCTTCCTAGCTGAGCTTCATATTAATCACGCTTGCTGTACTCTGCTTGGCACAATGTTCAGTAATCCAGGCAGTGATTTACAGTGTTGCAGCTGTGCAGTGTATCTGCACAGGGCAGAACACTGCCATCTCATCTTTGTTAGGGTGACATTTATCTTTTGGAAAAGTATATTCATCACATCATCCTAATAGTGGTGTATCTTGTGGCTTGGCAAAATCGGCTGTGGCAAAGAAGTCACAAAGAGTAATTGGGAACTGTTCAAGTCTTCGAGGTCCTGACACCACAGACATAGTTTGCTTGCTACATATTCTAAATAAGAATATTTATGTTCACCTGGAGAAGGGGTTTGAGTTCCAGGTCCCTGTTAGATGGTGTCCATGTTTCTGTGAAGTCGTATACAAGTTTGCTGGTGAAATTATTTTAAAAGACCCTGAAAGTATTTATGATTTTTTTCTTTTCTAAGCACAAGAGTTTCTGTTTGGTTTAGGTAATCTGGTACTTTACTCGAGTGAAGAATAGTGTTTTCTTTTGATAACACTGCTTGTTCTGTTTCAATATAGCTTCATACAATTAATTTATGTTTGCTCCATGGATTCATCAGTGCTGCATCTAACACTAGAGATGTTGGAGCTAAGCTCCCACCAGAGGAAACTATTTGCCTGAAGCCTTTGTAAAGAAATGGGAAGAATTGCTTTGATAGTGTTAGCAGTTCTTAGTTTTGGAGAGCAAATCCTGGGGAAGGAGAACGAAATGTGGCCTCCTCCAGGTGAGCTGCCAGAATTCAGGAAGGAACACTGGTCCATTGTCTGGAGCATGCTGGGCTGGTTGAACACTGACTTGTGCTGGTCTTGGAGAGGGGAGAAATGGGCTGAGTGTCACCAATGTTCAGGAAAGGGAGTTTGAATGGGGGAATGCTGGCTCAGTATGGGGCATTTCATGGCTGCCTGCTGGAAAAGCAACAACTTGCATTCCTTCTTTCCCCTCCAACTCTGTGCTGCCATCCAGTGTTGCCGCTATGGTTTATTGTGATGGTGAGCAGGAAAGGGAAGAGGAAAAAAAAGCGTGCTGAGCAAGTAGGTCTGGCCTGGGGAGAAGAAGTATGTATTTTACCCTGAGGGGTGTTGGGGAGTGCAGGGAAAAAGGGAGAATGCCACTGAACTAAATTATGTAGCAAAAGGAAGATCCTTTCCATTTGATCAGGGTATCACCTTTTTTCTTTTCTTTTTTTTTTTTTTTTCCCCAGACTGGCAAACCCCCCAAATTCTGCTGTTTCATGCTGTTAGTTCTAAAATATTTATCAGCACCAGATCCACGCCTGACCTTCTGTGTTAAAGCTGCTAAGTTCCTCACAGTTCTCTTGTATTATTCTTCCCCAGACAGTAAGACTAGTTTGATTTTTTAAAAAAATAAATATTAATTCTATCTTTAAATTTGTTCTGGCTTAGCCCTCTTCTGAATACCTCCCAGTGCTATCATAAAAGCATGTTATAACAACCAGAGCAAATAGAGTAAATCCAATACTTTAGGTGTGTTTTATGTGGGACTTTAGCATATTTTTGCATTCAGCTAACACTGGGCCTTTTTATTTTTCTTTTTCTTGAAACCCCATTCCATCTCTGGGGAAGGTAGTTTTTATTTTATTGTTTATGTAGGATGTGTAGAGAATTTAAGAAATGCACATGGGATTATGGAGAGTTGGATAATACCTTCAGAAACTCTCAGAATGGATTTGCTGCATTTAAAATTCTACTGTTTAGGTATTGTGTTAAATATGTAACACTTAGGTGATCTCGCTTTTCCGCTTTTAAGAACAGATGTGCAAGTTAGTGGACAAACATTTGGAATTCACTGCAACTCTTTTCAAGATGGTTTTTCTTTGGAAGATATGATGTCTGCTTTGAGATTTCAGTGGTGTCTTTTTTCTTAAAGGAGAATTCCTAGTAAGAGATTCTATTCTGTTCACAATACTAATGCTTCTTATTAGACACAGAGAATCAGATCTCCCTGTACAGTCTGTTTAGGATCATTTATTGTAAAACACTGACTTCTTTGAAACAAATAACAGTCTTTGCACTGGCATTGCTGAAAACAAATAAGGTAAGAAAACTTATAAATACTTCTCTGCATACTGTAAGATGATAGATGTATACAAGTATAGGTGATACATGTTTTTGCAGCATTAGTGCCTAAAAAAGAAAATAAGTTTTATTGAAAACCTGAAAATGAAGGGGAAAGTTTATTCTAGCAAAAGAAAATTTCATGATTCAGTGCAAACTTTTTTTTTTGCAGAGGCAGCAGGATTGTGACTTGCTCTTACACAGTCAGCAACTGGAAAAATGCCAGGTTCTAAAAGTAACTTGGTATCTTCACATGAGGATGTTATAAATGAGACGTCAGACTTGAGTGAAATTAAAATTTCAGATGAAAAAGGATCCGTTGCAAAAAGAACAGTGACTCTAATTGAGAAGGATGGCTATCCCGACTCTGTATACATGAATGCAGCTAAGATTTTTCAAGGCATTCGTACTGAAAAGAGTAAGGATAAAATGCTAGTGCGGTACGGCGATAACTCAGAATCTCCCGTGCTAGCTTTTAAAGATGAGCATTCCAGGCGTGTATCTTATGAACTGGCTTTCAGTGCTCTAAAATGTAAGTACAAAACTTTTCCAACAATTGCCAACAGAAATGATGCAGCAGGGAAAACACAGGAAAGCAACATTTTGATCTCTGACAGCAGAGATCTGAGGAATTCTTTGTTAAACTGCAGGTTGTTACAAGACTACTCATATGCCTCAAATAGTTAAATATAGCTAAGTGTTATTAGCCTTTTGTGAAGTCAAACATTTAAACCCTATACGTTTTCATGTAAAGGAATTATATAAAGTTGCTATTCTTCATGATTGAATTTACCCTTAATTTTCATGATGTTTTAAACTTAAAATTTAGTGATTTATCAGGTTTTCTTTTTCTTCCCTAGAATTTTGTAGATTTCATAGCATAACTTGTCAACATTTTCTTTTTTTTGCAGATCAAGATCTTCTTGAAGAAATATTGTTAGATAGCGGTGTTTACCCATGCCAGTCAATAGTAAGTGAATGTTACTGTGAGGAAATAAATTTTATATTTTCTACATTGATGTAATTAGAATCTTTTCTGAGGATTCTGCAACACTCTTCAAAGCAACCTTTGTTGTTTTGAACTATATGACAGCCTCAGACTGAAATATTGCTGACCATTTTAGATAGTTGTCCAAAGCCTCTGTCTCCAAAGTACTAGGTATGTTGTTTGTGAGATTCTGTTGCACTGTACAATCTTTTGAAGGGAATCAAAACCTTCAAAGAAAGAAGGTGGGAGAGAGAACCATAATCTTTACTGCAGGGTAGTACTTGCTCAGTCAGACTGTCTATGTGCTTTCCTTTCCATCTGTGTCCCCTTGTGAGCAGGGAAAAAAAAATCATGTATCCTTCCTGTCCTTGGGAGTTAGAAACCATGGAGAGAATCCCATCAGACAAAAAAAATGCATTGAACCCACATTTCATTTCCTGGGCAAACCATACTGTATACAAATATTGTACTGGCAAAAATTGGTCCAGGTTACTCTCTGAACATACTTTCCTGCTTTGACATGAAAAGAAATTCTAGACCTTACAGAGTAATTTGCTGTTCCTTCCAGTTTAGTCTTTGATGGCTATGCAAATTGCAAGATGAACTTGAACTGATGTTATTTGTGGAGATTGATGTGAGCAGGCAAATGATCCAACACATTTATCTTTCGCTTGTTTTTGTAAGGAAGTAAGACTTACATGCTAACATTCTGTGTTTGGTGGTATATCCCTAATAACTTGAGTTTTCTAACTAATTTTGGTCATATTTGTGAGAAGTTGAGCATTTTAGAAGGCATAATAACTGTAGGAATTTCATGGAAAGAGGTAGACAATAGTAACAGAGGTGCTGTTAGTTATTGTCCTTAAGCAGTGATGCTCCCTGGTGTAAAAATTTAGACATGGAAAGGAGATTTTACATAAATCCCAACAGCAGAACAGTTATTACAATTGAGCTTATGGGTTACTACATACAGAAGAATCCCACAAGAGATGACTTTAGACAAGAAGTTTTTGTTAGCTTTGCTATTCAATTCCTTAACAAGGAGAAAACAATTTCAATGGTTCAATGCTGATAACATTAGAAGTTGTTAAGATGTAGTGTTTTTACTGTGTTTGGAGAATGTTTTTAATTTTGATAAGCTAAATAACTTACAAAATGTGTATTTTGAGTTTTAAAAAAACACAATCTTCAGTGTTTTATTAGCTCTCCATAAGGAATTACTTTTGTATTCTTGCAAATAAGCATTTCACTGGAGTTTTTAATGCCTCTTACACAGGAGAATGCTGTTTGATATGGATCTTTTTGCAGAAGTAAGGCACACTTTGTGTCACTTTTGCTATCCAGATGCGTTTCTGTTGCAGCCGGATGAGTTAACCAGCTTGCTTGTTGTGATGCTTTATGACCTACAAGACCGAAAGTTTGAAGCACGAAAGATTTTTGATGAAGAGGAACCTGTAGAAGAAGTTCAGGAAATAGGGCATTATTTATATAGGTATATGTGCAAAGAGCTTTTTTGTTGATATATATTAGCAAAAATGCAGATTTGTATAACCAGTACCTTTTAATAATAGTTATTAAGCATGTCTTTTATTTTCAAATCTTGTGGCCTTTTTAAAGTTTGAAGGGAAACTTTCATATTTATATAGTTAAGAAAAATACGGCTATCAAACCATCCTTATATTATGGATTATTTTACTAGCATCTTGTCGTATTTTGGCATTGTTGAAACTTTTATCATACAATTTTAGGAGAGAAATTAAATATTCAGTAAATGTTCATAAATGTGAGTGTAATAGAATCAAGAGGTCATGGAATGGAATAGCATGCATCTATTTAGCAGTACTTCTATTATGGAACTTTGTTAAATATTTATTATTTTTTAAAAATTAGAACAAAAAAGAGGGTACGTAAAATAAACATTTTTATATTTATTATTTTGTTAGTCAGATGAGGAACTCTAAAGGCATTTATTAGACAAAATTGTGCTGTTGCTGGATTTAGAGTAGCCCAAAATGTTCATGAATATCTTAAGTGCAAGGTATTGCTGGAGGGCAGTAAGTAATATGTCTGAAGTAGTTCACCAACAATTTTTATTTGCTGTGCATTATCATGTATCAAGAGCTTGTGGGGAGAAAAGACTGGGCATATTTTCTCTGACTCCTGGTTGCCATCATACTTGTGTTGGTGTTGTTTCTGTACAACAGGTCAGCTTTCATCAAATGCTCATTCTGCACATGTATGTATTTACATTTTCAAACATTTGAATGAATCTCATGATTGTATTCCACGGGTGGAAGTTCCAAAATACATTGGGTTGGGGTTTTTTAAGCTGTTTGAGAAAGTGAATGTATTTGAGAGTCACCTGTCATAATTCCAGTCCCACCTGCATTTAAATGAAATAATCTTAGCTGTGGACTACTACCTTGCATCTACCATTGTCTGGGATAGGAAATGTTCTTCTTAAACTTATGACTATGTTTTTGTAGTTGTAGGACCAAAGCAGCAGCTGCACTGGCACGATGTCGCATTAAATACGATGCTCTTTCAATTGAACACTTTATACCAGAAACCATATGGAAGCAGGAACAAAGAGTTTCTGCTTTACCTTTCTATGTTTGGATAAACACATTTAAAATAAGGTAAGGACTTTAAAGTATCATTTGGTTTTGATGTTTTGCATATGAAGTGATATAGGTTGCTCCATGCTTGTTTTAGAATTCTCAGGTTATATTTTTACCAGTAATTTAAAATTCTTACAGGAAATTCTGATTAGTCCAGTTCCATTGTGTTATGTTTGCTTGTAGTTTATATATATTGCAGTAATGGTATTCATACCCTGTAACAAGGTTGTGAAACAGTTTTTCATACTATTTTGTTGCCTGTGTGGGTCTTTAACCAAAAAAACCAAGGAAATAAAGTTAAAAAAAATATGGATGAGTAAACTTGATGACAGAAGATAGAGGAAACATCTTTAAAAGTGGGTGTATCAGTGTAAGCCATAATCTTGGCAAAGGGTGTTGAGACAGATACAATACTTAAACTGGTGTTTATTCTGTAAGGATGGTGTAAACTTGAAATAAAAACACACTTTTAAAAATTCTTATATTCTGTAGACTACTTTATATAGTCTATACATCACTATACCTGGTGTTCCCAGTTCTGTACTAACTGATACATGAACCATACCAAGTTATCCTGTTGTCTGTTTTGTTAGACAGGTAATCCATTTTATAATGTTTTCAAGAATTTTGTTTTTCTACTCTGGTCTTGGACCAATGTTTGGTGCTTAGAAGATAATGTGTCTTACTCTGTTTGTGACTTTGCAGCCCTTAAATAAGACTGGACTAAAAGCTGCTGCATTCATCCCACATTTAATGTACCATATAAGGCTATGGCACTGTTCAGCAAGTGTTGCTACATATACCTTTAAATCTGTCTAATATTTGAATTGCTAACCTCAGCAGTTATGCTTTCATTACATTTACACAAGGATTCTTTCGGTTATCAGCCATTAAAATCATTGGTGAGTTGGGCTAAATTGAAAGCAATTGAAAGAACTAAAGCATTTCAGCAGTAAATTTACTACAGTGTGTCCTGAGCACATGGACATTTCTGTTTTGATGCTTTGAATCATTCTCTGGAGACACGTACATCTTTCTTAATTTATTTTGTCAGACTTATTAACTTAATTGTTTCAAACCAGAACTTATATGCCTAAAATATGGTCAGTTCCCCTCCTACAGGCAGTATGGCATTCTGTACCTATGTATGTATGCATACGTATGCACACACTAACAGAAGTAAAAAATTCACATAATCAATGTAAACTACATTGCTTAAGTAACTCTTGCATATTTAATGGTCAGAGTTGTATGTTAACAGCCTTGAAGATGTTATCAGAGATTTGGAGACGAAGGGACTCACAAAGGTTGAATCTGTGTCAGACTTTGACCATTATACGTATGCCATGGACCAACATTGCCATGATGTATTGGTTTTTCCTTCCTCTCTTAAAGAAGAATTGCTTAATTTAGATCTTTTTGCAGATTGCAAACTCTTACTGCAGGTGAGTTGATGTCACCCTTGAGTCAAATGATCTGCAAACTAAAGTAATTGCTTTGCATTAGAATGAGGTCGTGTATTGTGTGACTATCCTATTAAATCAGTCAGGCAGCAATATAGTCTCCTAAGGTTTTGGTTATTTTTCCTAATTAGAAGGTTACAAACTCATTCACTTACTAAATTCAGCATGCAAATGCAATGCTTATAATTGATAGGTACAATTAGGTTAGTAGAATGTTTTAAATTTAATCTTAAAACTCTTGACATTAAATATAAAAAGTGATCAAAGAGGCAGTCTCACTTCTAAAAAATGTGAGGAAAGTTTTGATGTATCTCTATGTGCTTTCCCCCAGTTAGTAGATATTGGTGTGCTATTGTAGTATTTCTTCCTCTTCAACTGCATGTTTGGGATGGAATGATCACACTTCTTTGTATGTTGTGCAGTGTGGTTCCTAGATCTCCATAAACCCCACTGGTCTTTTTCCTGACTTACTGTCATTAGACTCTTCAGTCAAGATTGGTTGGAAGTTCCTGTTGTAGAGCAGTGGTTTGGAGTAACCGTGCAACAACACACAGCCACGAGTTATCTGAACTATCTGATGATTCTTGAGTGCCTAGCAGAAACATTTCAATGGGCATTTTCACTAGATGCTTAGCATTGTCAGGAAACTTTAGCCTCAAAATTTATTGCCCGACTTAAATAGTGATTCACTATTCAATATTCAATTTCAGTGTGCATATTTTTAATAGAAGATTTACAGAAAAGGACAACACATGAGAGCCCCATAGAGTACTACTACTTAAAAGTATTCAAAATGAGGAAAGAAAACTCTCAAAACCTCTGTCTCTTTGGTGGGGAAGGGTGGTGCTTGAATGCTGTGAGTACATAGACAATGATGTGAACTTAAAGGCTTAGCAGTGTTTTCCCCCCCTTCCATTTATTATCAGTGTTGGTCAGATTTGGTGCAAGACCTTGTACCTGTGGTCAGTATCTTTACTCCTTGCCTTTTTAAGTAATTTGATGGAGATGATTTTTCTTAATCACCACGGGTATGAGGCCATTGACTCCTTTTGAGTGGTCCCTGTGTTTTCTGCATTCCAATCTGGCTCTGTGTTGTTCAGATTTCAGCAAAATTTTGATCTTTGATCTGTAAGGACTTCATTTCTCCTGTAATGATTGTCAAGAGCTATGTGAATAGTTTTGCATTTCTCTCTTCATTCTGCCTGTTCTGAATTGCGGCCTATGTTTGTTCTTTTCTGGCTGTTGTTAGGAGTTCTTCATCCCTCATGGGGATGATATGCATTCTTTCTTTTCACCTATAGAGATATTATGCTTTTTTAATGTATTATTTAGAATTAAGTTATTTAAATTTTTTGAGTGACTGTTTGGATTTGTACTTTATTTAATTCTGTGTTAGGAGCTATCTCTGGTTAGTTTTTTCCTCCCTTCTTTCCCATTTCCTATGAAAACAATTAAATACTTTGCTAATTTGGAAAAGAAGGTTGGCATTCATAGAAATCAAAATAGATGGTTGTACTTAATTTCTGTGTCATTGTTTTCTAGGATAAGTCTCGCAGCCTTGCAGTACACTCTGCACAGGCGCTGTTGAATGCAGGTGATGACATTATAGTGGCTCACACAGGTTCCTATCTGACCATTGCCCATATGTCAGTGCTGACAAATCATGGCACGTCCACAATTTTCGTTTGTGGTGTGAAATCTTCAGCAAAAGAAGAAGAACTGAGGAATATTTTCAGTCATATGGGATGTGAAAGTAGGTGCTGAAACAGTTGGTATGCAAAAAGTATTGTAATACAGATGTTTGTGATATCTATAAATACAGCATAATTCTATCAGAATTCAGAGATCTCTTCTTTGAAGACTTGGCGAGGGCAGTAACAACTTTTTTTTTGTCACAAGGTGTGCTGACAGCTCTTCAGCTACAGTCAAGTTAGTTGAAGGTCGCGGATTAACCATGTTATACATGGAAGCTCCTGAAATGTCAAGATGAATTTTTCCATAGAAGTACTTACTGTATAGCAGTTGGTGTAGCTGGTAGCTGGGAACTTTTGGATCCATTTATTTGGTGCTTTGGCTGTTGCTTTCAGTCTGATTTCCGGCTGTTTGAGTGTTAATTCAAAACACATGTACTTGTCCAGTTTATGCAGAGGACAGGATCAGAACAGAATGCAGCAAGACCCTGCAACCCCATCAGCTGTCTTTTCAGTGGAAGATGCAGGTCTAGTTAGCCTTTCAATCAATTTGAAATCCACAGGTTATAATTTGGAGGATCTGGGTCTAGCAGGCTCTAGCTCTGTAGAAATCTATGTAACAGCACAGTCTCTTCATTGTATCACCTGTAGGTAGGCTTGCTTGCAATGCATAACTGTTGAGTTCTTCCTTTATTTTGCAGATATTCAGTTGTTGCATGAAGACTTTACTGAGCTTGAACCAACAGACCGAAGACTTCAAAAAGCAAAAGTTATTTTGCTGCTACCACAATGCTCTGGACTGGGTGCTGGCAATCCAATGGAGTTTATTTTAAGTGAACACAGAGGTAGCTTTTGATACAGAAAAGCTCATGCTTTCTGGTAGAAATGAATAAATTCAAGTATTGTGGTCTAGACAGTGTAGGTACTTCAGTAAATTGTATCATTTTATTTAAAAACCCTTATTTTAATTACTATGAAACATATATTAACTTGCATAATTCTGTCTGATTCAAGTTGGTAGTATGAAATTTGAGGGTTATTCGGGGAGCAGAATGTATATATTTTTTTTAAAGTAAAAAGACTATAGGCAGAAAATTTATTTCAATATACCAATATGTATATTATTTTCCATTTGCTTACATTCCTTTATTGACTGTTTGTATAAGTCTGTTCACTGTACAATTTTCATTAAATAGAAGCAAATAAGAGGCACCAGTAATTACAGGTAAAGAAGGAAAGCAAATAAATTAGGGACTCCTTGGTATTCTAATTTGTAAAACCTACCTTCTAACTGCAGTAGTAACAACCACATCTGTTTCTGCAAACAACTGAATTTTAAGACACTAAGTTGCAATATTAAATTTACAACTCTCTACTTTTAGATGCAGGGTTTCTACGAGACCTTTTCCAGGGATTTGTGTCTGAGGATAAACTCGGTATTCTTGCTGAGAGGCAGCTTAACGAGTTGATTCATGCACTGAAATGTAAGTGTGCTAGTTCTCCAGTTTCTGGGAGGACCTCGTACTATCGATTCCATTGTACTATCACCAGTTTTTACATTGTTAAAAATACATGGATTACTCTATTAATTAACAATAAGCATGTAACCAAAACCCCTGAATAATGATCACCTCCAATCTGAAGGTGTCTCTCTGTCCTAGTGTTCACCAGTCTTCAGCACTGTGTATAGAACTGGCTTGTGACTTAGTCATACTCTGATTTGGAAATGCTGCAAATGTAGTCAGACTCCATCTGCATGCTGCCACTTCCTTCCCCTCTCCTTTTGTAGCTGTGTGAAAAGATAGATACAGCTTTGAATTTGTGCTGTGATCTGCAAATATTTAACATTTTAATTATTAAAAACCATTAGAGTTTGCATACTAATGTGTGCAGGAGGATATTCTTATTGGTAAAAGTGACATCCAAGCATAATTTTTGTGATGTTTTCAGTCCTTACCTAGCCACTGTCTGTATGAAGAATCTGAACAGTAGAAAATTTGTTTTGTTTTGTAGTTAACAAAGTACAAGCTATTGTTTACTGCACTTGTTCAGTTTACCCACAAGAAAATGAACTAGTAGTGAAAAAAGCACTGGAATCTGGAGTGGAAGGAGATAAAGTACAACCATATAGGTATGGAATGAGTAGTTTTATCTATGGAAAAATTAAAGTATAACTTTAAATTATAGCATAATTCTTATCTCCCAGACTGATATGTGTCTTGCATTAAATTAATATTTACAATAGTTTTTGCTGCCTGTCATGCCATTTTTTCTGATGTTTATGAGAGTACTTAGCAGTATTCTATTGACTTTTTCATCTAATAGTTTTGTTCACCTGAAACTGAGATGGGAGGAAACCATCACTGGTTGGAAATAACACTCTTCTGATAGAGCTATTGCTTTTATAGTATCAGTATTCAGAGAATGAAGCTAGTTTCAGATAAAATGGAGACTAGAAGTCAGGGAACTTGCTAGCATGCTTTCAGCTTCTGACCTAGAATGATCAGTTTCGAAGGAAAAAGGAATTAAATCTTAAATTGTGAGAATAATATAGAAGAATAAGAACACTAGCTGTAGGATTGCTCATCCCTGTATTCAGATGAATGACTTGTGGGGAGGATGGGTTACAGTCAGAGATCATCCTGTGCAATCACAACAAATACAAGTATATATGAAAAAAGTATGTGTTATGTATACTTTATATGTAGTTAAAACCTGTCAGCTGTCACCCCTGTCAGACAGAGAAATCGTTAGAAGGCTAGTGAGTACTTTCTGGATTTTCCTTTCAGTCACAATAGATAAATGCAAACGGTTGGCAGTCACTTGCACATAGATACAATAGATGATTATGAGATGCAGGTTAAGAGAGTGTATGTTGCCAAAAGCACAGAAGAGTAATACCATATTTTTAGATTTTATATTACCTTAGATGATGTTAATATGCTGGCTATTGCAGGGAAAGGTACTGTGGCTCAAGATATTCAGTGTAATTAAATTTTGCATGATTAAAATGGTAAATGTTAACTGTGGCCAGTCCGAAGAATTTTGAAAAGTTATATATTATTCATAAAGTTAAGACATAGTGCAACAAAATGCATCTTTTTTGCAATTCACTGATAATTGAATTAGCCTGGTTGAATTTTTACATTAAGTGGGATGAAATCAGGGCTTGTCTTGCCAGTGATGGTATGCTAGTCCAAAAGCATCTATGGCTCTTGCTGTAAACTGTGTTTTCCTTTGGAATTTGAAATTTTGTGGAGTCTGTCATGTCTTGATCTTTATGCAGCTATTACGCTATGGGGAGAACTCAGGGAACCTTGGAAAGTAATGGTCTCCAAAGTAGTTGAACACAAATAATACATACATTCGTAACACATATAACAGAATTTGTATTAAAAAGTTCTCAGAGCTTTAATTATTTTAGAAAAAATTCCCCCTAAAACACCTCCCCTTCCCTCAAAGCCAAACCAAAATCTCTTCAGTGTTTTGCAGAAACATCATGAAACTTGTCAAACCACCAAATTATACTTTTACATCCAAATACAAGGCCATCTCAGATGGCCAGAAAGGGACAATAAAATTACATTAGGATTTTGGCAGACTTGAGCTAATTTGTGACTGAAGACTGATTGAGCTCCATAAATAACAATTTCAGAATTGGTTTCTGCTGCACTGTTATGCAGTATCTTGGATGTTTTCATGCACAGTTCTCACTACAGTAAAGTTGCTGGTAACCAGCAGTAATAGAACACCGTAAATAAAATGTATAGTGCGATTATGTTTGTCTTAAGATGTCTTATATGGCTCAAGCCACTTAAGATGCGTGTATTACTTACAACAATTCCTTTTACACTTTCCTTAGAATTAATTAGAGAACCTACTCGAAACAATGCAGTATAAAACAATGCAGTATAGAATGAAAAAAACTGTTGCAGAATTACTAGCCTCAGTGTTTACAGTAGTGTCTTTGAGAGGGAAGTTACACTAATAAAACATCCTGTATGATCATCACAGGTCTACTTAATATTATTTTCCTTTTCCAATAAAATCGAGGGCTTTCAAGAAACTTTTACACCAGTTGTGCTTATGTGCATTATATCTTTTGGAATTACTCTGCAGTACTGGAGTAGTGCTGAACAAATTAAGGCTCTGCTGGAGTTTGGGATCATACAGCTGGTCTTAGGGCTGTGCACTTGTAAGGGTGATTTTAAACATGTACCCACAGGCTAAGCTGAGTTTACCTTAAGGATATGACAGTTTATAGCAAAGGCTTCACCTTAAGTAAGGGTACACATTGTGAACAGGTGTGTTTAGAGAGGAATCTAAACCACTCATGCATTTCTCTTTGGCGTATCAAAATTGAGTTAATTTCTGCATCATTTTTCAGAGTCAGACCATCCATTGAAGGGATTCCTGCTAACAGGAATTTGTATACATCAATAAAAATTAATCACTTTTTTTTTTTTAATTGAGTGAGCTGATGTAAAATGAAAAATCTCCTGTGTCACAGGACATATAATGTGAGGAGGATGTGAGCCTTGTAGTCTGTTTTATCAAGTTCAAAGGCACATAGAAAAAAAGCCAAATTATGGTGGAAACTTAGAAACAAACAGTTTTGCAGACTTCCCATTAGAAATGAACTAGCCAGCCAAATCAAGATATTGCTTACAAATATTATATGCATTTCTCCATAACCATCTTTGAATAAAGCTCTCTCTCAAGAGGATTAATGGAGCACTGAGGAGGGGCTCTATCTTACATTCCTCAGCGATGTGAAAAGGAAGTGGGTTATAATTGCAAAAAGACATTTTGAGAGTGTTTTTTCCACACTGAGACCTCTTAGTACTAGTTTAGCAGCCTTATGAGCCAAGTCCCTGGGGCCTCTTTATAACAGCTAGGCGTTCCTGGAATACAAGGAAAACATGAGAAAAGGCTAGTTCTTTCTTCCCCAGTGATGCACTGCAAAACTGTAAAACTGGAAAAACATCACTCAATTATTAAAAATATTTTTAGGTTAGCAAATTTTGCTAACCTAAGGTTTTTAGCTTAGATATATTATTTATTATGAGCATATACTATTAACTCAAAGTCAATATCTCTGCAATTTCTGAGCTGCTTAGTGTTTTCAGGTCATTCCCCAACTTCATGGACAACTTGATAATGCAGTAATTGCAGACCTGAGAAAGAATAAAGTTTTTCATTATATTAATACATATTTATTATCTGGTGGTTAATATCATTAATTGGAAAAAATGGGAATTATTGAAAAAAATGGAAAGACCCCCATTGTTTCTAAAAAGATGAATTCTTATGCCTTTCCTGAATTGCAGTTGTTTAAAATTAAGATAAAGCTATGTCATTGAAAGGCATATTTGGAAATTACTTTTAATGCATCCTTGTTTATTTCCTTTTATATCCTTAAATATGATTTTCTGGTATTTTGTTTATTTTTTACAGGCTTATTCCTCCCGTTTTTTCTACTTGCTCCAATTCAGAGGCTTCCACTGAAATTTTTTTCAAAATGGAGCCATCAGAAATTTCCAGTGGCTGTTTTGTAGCTGTTCTAGAAAGAGAGGTAAGCTAAGGAAGTTACCATTTAAAATCACTCCACAGAAGATGACTACTGCAATTTTCCACAAAAGAATGAATGAAATTGAACATTTGAAATAAAATTCCTGGATTCTCTTTAGTTGTCTTAAGACCAAAGGATAGGGAGCAGTTGAAATGTGCCACTTCTGGAGTTTTATGCTGAGCGCAGTTTTCCAACATGTGCCTGTTGTTCTGGAGCTGTTCCTGGTTAGAGCAGGCCCATGATCCAAGTCAGTGCCAGCAACATCAAGAGGAAATATATTGTTGTCATACCTTGGAATGAAATACATAGGTTGATTAGACTCATGATAAATGGTATCTAGTAAAGTTATTTTTTTATATGTGTCACCAGGATTTTGCAGTGTCCAAGCAGATGAACTTTTAAACCCTATGGGTGACACTATTATAATTTGAGTGAAATAGGTATGAATATGTTTCCTTCCCAAACTAAGGCATATGCAAATCTGGCTTGAAAGGCAGGCTGCTTTTGCTGAGTAAATGGAAAAATGTTGGCACAATTCCTGAGGAAAGGCCTTAAAGGGCTAGTTTGCATCTCTGAGCATCAACATTCTCCTCTTGTGTCTGAGAAAAGCAAGAGTTTTTTAACCGAAAGAGGAAGGGGTGGGGTTGGGGGGGAGCGGCTCATTAGAATTGCCTTGCAAATTTATGATAGAAGATCTTATTTGGTCATTTGTGCTACTTTCTGTCATACTGTGATCACAGTGCTTGAAAGAAGCTTGTCTCAGGGGAAACTAGAAGAGAAGATTTTATTAAGAGTAAGAGAATCACATATGAAAAGCCTTTAATTTACCTATTATTGACCTTCTTCTTTTCAATAGAAAATATTTTTAACCTAGCTACCTGAGTTTTAGTTAACATGCTATGTACATCTGTTTACCATATTGTATCCCTCCAGAGAAACAAGTACTTTTGTTTCAGGTAGTTAATTTGAATAATTTTTGTCAAATTTTTGTCAAATTCTAATGGACAGAAGCAATTGCTCCTATAGCAAATTTTTAGGTTATTTGGGAAATGATCATTCTCCATGAAGCAGAAAACATGTACTTACAATTTAAACTGAAATTTCTGGTTTACAGAAACCCTCTTCTTAGCTAGTTCTAAGTAGTTTCTTCCCTATTTTTTCTCTATATGCTTGGATGCTGAGCTGGTTGCTACTTAATCTAGTCTGAGAATTCCTTACTTATGTATTATGAGGGAAGATTTTCATTATAGGGAAAATTATTCATGTTTAATGTTACTGATAACATTTCTGTATTTTAGTAACTACTTCTGATACACACACACACGTAATGTATATGCATGTTATTACAGACACATCACAGAGCAGGTCAGTGTGGGAGTGTGTGCTGGTTTTGGCTGGGGTAGGGTTAATTTTCTTCCCAGTGGCTGGTGTTGGGCTGTGCTTTGCATTTGTGCTGAACACAGGGTTGATAATACAGAGACGTTTCTGTTATTGCTGAGCAGTGCTTACACAGAGCCAAGGCCGCCTCTGCTTTTCATACTGCCACGCTGGTGAGGAGGCTGGGGGTCCTTGGGAAACTGGGAGGAGACACAGCCGGGACAGGTGATCCCAACTGACCAAAGGCATATCCCATACCATATGACATCATGATCAGCATATAAGGTGGGGGGAGGAAGGAGGAACTGGGGACATTTGGAGTAATGGCACTTGTCTTCCCAAGTAACCCCTGTCTTATGAACCCATGAGTTTTCTGGCTTTTACCCTTCTGATTGTCTCCATGACCCTGCTGGTGGGGGAATGAGCGAACTTGGTTGTTGGTTGGGGTTAAACCACAAGTCAGACATGCAGTACAGAGGCTGGAACTGAGCTTCCCCTCTTTGGAGTGGCAGAGAACAAAGTTTCTGAGAAGCAAATGCTCTGATACTCTTTACACAACAGTCATGTTCTTAATTTCATGAATAAATAGTTTGGTTAGCATTTATCATATGTGACTTAAGTCCTTCTGCTAGACTCTGCCACAGTTTTCTCTTGGAGTAAATTCTGAGCAGCTCTGTGTTGTGACTTAGATTCATTGTTGTTTCCTTTGAAATTTTCAGAAATGTTCTTCTAAAAAAGTGCCTGCTAAAGACATTTTGGCTTATGCTGCAGAAAAAGGACTACTAGATAGCATTTCTGAAGAAAAACCAAAAGAAGAGAAAAAGCAGAAAGTAAAACGACGTAAACGTAATGTTACTGGTACTGATAGAAAGCCAAAGGCTCCAGAGCCCCTTCACCATCAAACTGTAGCTCATGTTAAGGCTGAAGTTCCTGTGTCTAAAGCAGTCAGTGACACACAACAAAAGCATGTGCCCAGAACAAAAGCAGTCAGTGACACAGAAAAGCATGTGTGCAGAACAAAACCAGTCAGTAAAGCACAACAAAAGCATGTGTGCAGAGCAAAAGCAGTCAGTGACACACAACAAAAGCATGTGCCCAGAACAAAAGCAGTCAGTAACATACAACAAAAGAATGTGTGCAGAACAAAAGCAGTCAGTAAAACACAACAAAAGCATGTGCCCAGAACAAAAGCAGTCAGTGACATATAACAGAAGAATGTGTTCAGAACAAAAGCAGTCAGTAGTACAGCCGTGCCTAAAGCAGTCCCTAACATACCTGCATCTAAAGCAGTCAGTAACACACAAGAACGTGCACCAAACAAACAGCCACGTTCAGCTGAAGAAATCCACCAACCCTGATTCACACACAGCTGTGCCTGAAGCGCCAAAGCGTACATGTCATTTGTCCCCTCTGGGCAAGGTGTCTGAGAGAGACACCTCCTCGAAGGGAAGGGCACGTGCAGGACATAACGGGGTTATATTGAAGCCTGAGAAAATCACTTTGCCTCCAGAGTGATAACACAGAGTGATAGGAAAGTTTGCAAGGAAACAAACTCAGGGTATCAAGTCACCATCACTTTCATAGCCAGACTGGAGCACAGGGTCCAAGTGGTTGAATATTTCCACCACCCCTGTCTAAAATGGTCAAGCCAACTGTGCTTAAACATCTCTGACCATGGGAACTTTCAAACTTGGCTCTTCCTTTATACAGAAGGTAAAGATTCCTGTATATTAATCAATACTCTTTGATTACAGTATATATTTATGCAGGATAATCTTGGTGTGGGAAAGAGCTATGTTATGGCTATTTGTGTAGAAATCTCCAGGTTATACAGTAATTTTTAATCCACTAATCACAGTTTAAAGTGAATGAAGCTCAGCTGCCTAAGGCTGATAGACTGTTGCGAGGTCAAAAAACTGTAATCTCTTGCTATACACTTTAAATTGACAAGTTAAATCATACATCTGCCCCCCCCTCATGGCCTAGTTCTGTAAGAGTAATCAATTTCAAATGGATTTTTTTTTTAAGTGAGACTGCATTTTTTAAGTGGTTACTTTTCTTTACAAGTGCTAGGTACCATTTTTGCAAGTTTCCACTTCGATGCTTTGCACAGTAAGCCCGTTAGCTCACCTTTATTTCTAAAACTAGATGTGAACTTTTGTACAGAAAACTGGCCAGGTATACTAAGGGCCATGCACAGGCTTTCTCGTACTTACTCCCTTGGTTTCTACTCAAGTGTACTTCAAAATATTAACAATGAAAAATGGATAAAATATTCTCATGTTAGAAATGCTGAACTGTCATCATAATGTCATGTCAGACTATGTCATGGCTCATAATTGCTCCCGATCAATTTCTTTAAAGAAAAAGAGCTGATACTGTCAAAACAACTTACATTTATAAACGTTACTGCTAGTCAGCTGAATAATGACTGAACACAGAGTAGTTTGCCTGTCTTTGGAAACAGTCATGGGCTTCTAAGCTGCTCCCTCTTCCCAGCAAAGATTAAATAACTGTAAAATAGCTACGGTTGTTTTATCATCTAAGCAGAGCATAAAGGGAGACACAAAGATTTGTGTTTAGAAGTGTTCTAAAAATGAAACAGCACAGCAATATAGAAAGGCAAAGGTAGCTGTGGCCCAGAAGAGAAATTTTCCTCTAGGCAACCATTTAAGATACTTGGCAAGAGTGTTGTCATGAGCAGCAACAAAATGTAGTATGGAATCTTAACTGATTTGACATATGGGTCTAGATTTAGATCGATCCAGAGAAAATGTTTTAACATCTCTACTTTTTCTTCACCCACACCAGTCAGTGTCGCTGGATCAGCAGTACCTTTATAAGAAAGGATGTGAATGATACTACACCAGCAACATAAACAGCTGGCTCATGTTCATTGGATATTGTTGCTTCACTGAATCACTGAAAATTTCTTTTAGCATTTTAATCTGAGCCAGCTCTCCTAGGCAAAGACATCCCCTACCTTCTGCATATCCCTGTGAGCAACCCATGGTCCTTACCCATTCCATTTACATAGTGAATTCTGCTCTTGTTTTTGAGCAAACCTGTAAGGATAGTTTAGACCTGTGCACCACAATATGTAGAACAGGAAAAAAAGAAATTCTTATTTCAAACCATCTAGGAGGAGGAGAGATTCTACATGTTGGACAGTGGGAATGGACACTAAGAAGATTTAATTTTTTTTTCTTCCTGTATGGTTGTTAAATGGTTAAAATAAACTTAAGAGATTCTGTGGTTAGAGAATGATTTTTTTTAAATCAAGATCTGTATCATTCATTATTAAAGTTAAAATTACTTGTAAAAGAACATACATGTATGTGTCTGATGACAGAATTTCTGGGCTACTTATGTAATATATGTCGTGATGTCCCACAATCAGCCTCATCTTGCTTTCAGAATTTGCATTTTTGAAATGGTATGGAAGCTAAACCAGTTAGAATCTTGATGTCTTACTAAGAATATCAGAGAGTGAATATTTGGACTCTGCAGGTCAGCAGCTTTGTAAGCACTGAGCTTCACTTGGTGGAAACATCTGGGACTGAGTCCAGATGGCTTGTAGATGCTTGTACATTAAGTTAACACTCAATGACTTTTTACAGTAAAATTGTATCTTATGTAACTGTTTTTCAGTAATCCAGTTGTCCCAGTTTGTAATTTTCAACTAGAAACTGCTGATTCAACTTTCCAGATGCAAAAGTCTCCATTGTACTGCTATTGCCTCTAAAGCCACCACTTTGTTTTTCCCATCCCTCAACCACCATTTGGAACAAAAAAATAATTTCCCAGTTTCATGGAGCAGTAACAGTTGAGACAATCACTTTATGCAGCTAAATTTATTCTCAGAACAGATTACATTTAAATGTGGAGAAGTGGCCAACAGCAGGGAAAATTGTCCTTTTCTGTGTCAGTCAGGTGCTTTATGTAAGACTGGGCTCTCCTAATAAACAGTGGATGTGTTTCCTTCTTTCTTACTGCTGTTAAACAAACCTGCTTTGGCTGACTGTACATACAAGTTGTAGCAATGTATTAATTAACCTGCCCAAGAAAGGAGTAATGTGGTCGATGGTAATGCTGAAATGCTGAGGCCATACTCACTGTTGAAATGAGAAAGTTCTCTTTTCTATGGGTGATATATTAACAGGTTTAGATCTCTAGGTAAATGATCTATGAAATGCTTGATACATTTAAAAGGAAAGAGATGTAGAACCCTCAGTGACACAGAACTGATTAAGCTATTAGATACTACATAGTTTTTGTTCCTCTGTCTCAAAAGGGCATATTACTTCTCTAGGTACATGTGACTCTGCACAGGAAGTATATCACTAAAACCTCATTTTACTGTGAATGGATTCTATGCCCTTCCATGCAATTTTTGTTATTCCCATTTAACCACCCTGTAGGTGGCCTCTGTGGCCTTACATCTCTCAAGCCCCCCCTTGCTCCCCTTCAAATGAAACAGTAAGTGGCTTAAATAAAACCTTCAGCCAGCACTGCAGATTTCGAAAGAAAGGTTTTTATCTTTTAGTCATTGACTGAAAATAAATTTCCTTGCTTCTGCAAGGGAGTGTGTTAATGACATGACTGACTGACACGTGATACTTACCTCTAACTTAGTACTTGCATTGAAAAAAATGAAGAAATTAGCTTTGCTTTACATGATTTTTCTACAGACTTCAATAAAAATGTGACTACAAATAATTACAAAGCCTGCCTTTTTTAGGCAACCTATAGTACACAGAGTGGAGAATGTTACAAGAGCACGTCCGGTAAAGACAATACATCAACATAATAATGCAGGATATTTCAGTAAAAATAGAATAAATAAAATAAAAATATTTTAAGCTGTATTTAACAGGTTAAGTTAGAATATGGCATCAGACATACAAGGCATAGTGAACATGGCTGCCAGTCTACAGAATCACTAGGTATTATAAAAAATGCATAGATAACTGAAGGGTCGCTATAACATCAACTAGAACAGTGGCAGTTGCTCAAACACACACACCCCATACATACTTTTTTGGCCATGGTAAAAAGAGCATCTGAATATACTGTTTAACAAAAGATAATGGGCTTTGCAATATTAGGCTCCAACTCTGCAAACACCTGGATGTATATTAAATCTTTTGGAGAATAAGGAGATCTACTGAAGCAAAAAGGCCACATATAGTCAGACCATTAAGCACACTACTTAAATACTTGCAAAATCAACAGCATTTTGTTAACAGACACAAACCTCTTAAAACAAACATTGGTGAGTGAAGTACAGCTTTTCAAATACCCTTCTATCTTCTCAGCCCTTCCTGCAATTGCACACATTGCTACTGAAAACTAACCAGATGTTCATAGCCTTGACAACACTGGTGCAGAACTTCACACTGCTGCTCACTAAGTGTTGGTTTAGTTAGAGTCTGGATCTTTCCTGGGGAGAATCAGCACTGTAGAGGTGCAATGATGAAATTTAATTATACTGCTTAAAATTATTTCACTGTTGTACAACAGTTGCAAATCCCAAATCACGCTGTTCCCAGCTGGAACTTTAAAAAGACACTGTCAAATTAATTTAAAATAAAATTTGAATCACTGGCACAATGCCAAAAAAGGAAACTTTTAACTTCACAAATATACCTAAAGGTACAGTGTTAGCCACCACATTTTAAGGGCAGTCATCCCTGGAAGTGTTCAAGGCCAGGATAGATGGGGCTCAGCAACCCAGTCTAGTGGAAAGTGTCCTTGCCTATGGCAGGGGGGTTGGAACCAGATGATCTTTAAGGTCTCTTCCAACCCAAACAGTTCTGTGGTTCTCTGATAGGAAGTGAGTTTTTATAGTGCTCCTAGCAGAGGTGACTGGGATCAATATTAGAAACTATAGAAGCAGGTGTGCAAGCTGCCATGCCCATGCTTTGTGATCTGGCTCTGTACTCGGTTAAACCACTGGTACTGCTTAGGGGGAGGGGAGTTGTTTGCACCTCCTCACCTGCAGCTCTCCCCGCACACTAAGCACAAGCAGCTTCTCTTCCAGCTGTACAAGCAATAGAGCTGGTGCAAAGGAGATGGCAAGAATGTGAGCCTTGAGAGGGGAAACAATTGCTTCAGTGCCTGAGTTGCAGAATCTCTGTCATGAAGAGATCTCAGATGGGTGGAGGATCAGCTCTTCAGAGCGTATTCTAGAGAGCTAAATATATTACCATAGTTGCATAGCTAGCCTTCACCTGACATTTGCTCATACATCATGCTGAGTTTAGTTTAATGATATTTCTGCATTTTTCAATGCAGAAATTTCTGGAATCGTCCTTCTTTTCCTGTTGTGTTCCTAAGTTACTTTGCCCAGGTGTTGTCACTAATTTCTTTAAACAAGGAAATAAAAAAGAAAATAGTTTGTTTGTAACAGTCTCTTGCATAGTAAAATAAAAAGGAGTTATTGTAAGAATAACATTGACAATGTTCCTTTATCTTTGCAGTATGACCAGATTTGCAGACTTGGGAGACACTTAAGGTTTGGAACTTATCTATAAATGGAGGCAAAACATTTTTAACACTAGTTAAAAATACTTTTAATGTTCCATGTCCAAAGTGTGTACCAATCTGCAGGTCTAGACGGAAGATGGCCAAGGGAAAGACTGAAGATGCATAACTGCATTTCAAAATTAGCCTGAGGTGCAATTTTGAGGGCAATGCTGGGCTGATTTGTGAGGGTCTGCAGGTGTGTCAATGAAAGCAATCAGATGAAGCCTTTGGAGCAAAAGCATTGAAATAACATTGTATCACCTGAAGCACTACCCTGTCAGAAAACAACTCTCTTCTAATTTTGTTACAAGAGCATTAAAAGTAAAATAATTTCATGGAATTTTGTAAATAACAAGAAACACAATTGTTCTTTTTCTGGCATGCTAAGTATTCAGCAGCAAACTCTAGGGGAAGGGGGAGTTGTGCAACCAGACACGGAATTGAACATTTCATCAAACACTTGAATGGAAAAAGTATGGAATAGTTTAGCCTCTATAACAATTTTAAGACAATAAAATCATTATTTCTTACTTAGTCCTGATTGTTTTGAGCCCTGCATGAAACAAATGGTATTTCTGATGAATAAATGACAGATTTAGGAGAATAAATTTAACGGCCAACAGTTTCATTTGTATGTTTAAAGCTGAAAAGCTTCAGTTGATCACCCTGCAACTCAATTACTAAAACCATTTCTGGATTTTTCATCATTGATTTGGTTTTAAACACGATTCTTCTCTAAGACCACAATGTGTAACCAAAAGATGAAATAATTACACCATGATTCCAAAGCATGTCAGGGAGATCTTAAAGTGGTTGCTAGACCAACGCTGACAAACAATTTAAAACTAACAGGTGTAGTTCTGTAAAAAACAAAACTTGTTATTTAATCTACAGTAATTCAATGGTAGCTAATACTTGGTACCCATTCCAGTGTTGAAAACACAGCAAAGTGCTGTAGGATTTAAGATTGGTTTGTGACAAATCCAGCTCAAGAAGGTGAAATTTTAACTCAGGCATCATTCACTCCACGGACTTTAGCATGAGTTCACTGGGAGGGACATGGCCATATTCTTTTTTTGTGTGAGTTTAAGTAATGTTCATGTATTTACAATCAAACAAACCTTCCATTGCCCATGATGTAACTCACTGACAGCAAAAAAATTATTCATGCTTCTTTTCATATCAGACGATGGTGGCAAGAACGAGAGAACATGCTTGTCTAATATTGTTTTGATAAGGGTAAATTCTCTGAAGACAAAGCATCAGCAATTGAAATGGAAGGCCAGATATCGTCAGTTCATTTTCCTTAGTGTAGCTACTGTTATCTTCAGTTAAATGTTAGAAGAATCTTCCCTCTTGCGCAGCTATGGCATCTCAGTGACCGGACGTTTCTGTTTCAAAGTGTCAATGAGAGACAACACTCCTCTTTTTACGTTAGTTGTAACTCTTCTAGTCACCGAGTCTGCAGGAGGTGGGGGCGGTCGAACTTTCTGTGAAGGAGGTCTGGCTACTAAGCACTTCTGATACCGTAACTGCAACAAAGCAAAACCATTCTGCAATCAATACTCTATCCAATAATTTCACAGAGCATTCCAAATACACTCTTAGTACTTTCTCATTAAATATAGCCAAACCTCTGTTTTGGCTGTGACAGAAAGCATAGCTCAAGTTAACGGGACATTGGTCTGTCAGTGTGGGCAGAAACTTCATTAGCACACAACAGATAC